CTGGGCGCCGGGGACGGCCTGGCTGCGCCGCCGCCGCCGCTGGTCGCGAATGCGGATCTGAAACCGGGAGAGGGCAGAGGCGCTCAGAGCCGCTGCCGCCGCGTGCTCGCCGCCCGGGCCCCGCGGGGTATTTATACCGCGCATCCAGCGGCGGGGACCGCGCGGCGCCCTCCCCGCAGGATGGCGAGGGCCAGGAAGCCGGGCGCGGGCCGTGCGCGGCCTCAATAAATAAATAATTTAATTAAATTATAGATAGAAAAAAAAGGAAGCCACCGGAGCGGCCGCGAACTCACGCCTTCTTGGAGAAGCGCCAGCGCCAGAAATAGCCCCGGCTCGGAGTCCCAATTAGAGGAGCGCAGCCCCGGCTCAGGGGAGCTTAAAAAGAGCGACCCAGGGGCAGGGGGGACGGGCCCGCCCGCGCCAGCAGTGTCACTGGGGGCGGGGCCATGCAAATGAGCCCGGGGATTTAAAAGGGCGGCCGCCCGCCAGCCGCTGCGCGGGTGGGTGCCAACGGTGGGAGGGCCGCGCGGTAGCCCTGGGCTGGGAACCCGGCCGCCCGCCCACTCTTCGCGGGTCCCGCGCGCGGGAGGCCCAGGAAGCGACGCGGGAGACTCGAGTCCTCCTCGCGTGGGCCGGGGCGTCCTTGCTGCCGGCCGTGGGGTGGGAGTGGGTCAGTCACCTTCTGGGCGCATGGGCCTGGCCCTCGGTCGGGCGTCGCGGTGGGCGGTGTTCGGGCCGCGGGGGTCCATGCGGGCGGAGGGGGTGGAGACGAGCGCGCCCGTTGGAGCGTCGCGCGGCCTACTCGCCGCCCCTTTCCGCCCAGATCGACGGCTCGTAGATTTCCCCGGGGCGGACAGGTGTCAGCATGTGCTTTTCGGTGTCAACCCGCTGGTGGCTGGCTGGTGAAATACAAGTCTTGTGAAATGCAAACGCGAAACTTGGGAAATCCGAAGTGTGTCAATGCCTTAACGGCCCCCAGGCAGCCGTCACCAAGGTGCGGCCTTCTAGCGACACGATTGGCCCGTTTGCAGGTACACCGAGGGAGGAGTCACGCTGCCAGTTTACCTGGGAGGTGCCTTCGAGACACGCGGTCCCACTCGGCACCCCGAGCCCCATCGTGGTGACCTAGGAAAACGCGGGGTGGGCCCGACGTCGCCTGGAAGCACTTCGAGGGCAGGGGCTCAGTGCGCACGCCGTGCCCCTCATCAGCTCCGACTTAACAAAGACTTGTTGCGCGGGCCGAGAGGAAGCCCGGGTGGGAAGATGGCGGGAGGAGGGCGCGCCCTACAGGCCGGGCCGGGCCACGCGCACCTCCCCGCGCCGGTCCCCGAGGCGGCCCTCCACACCTCCTGTGATGCAGGGAATTGCAATGCGGCCCAGTGACACACGGCTGTGACTCATGTTTTTCTCTGCTCTCCTCCTTCCTCCCGGGTCCACCGAGGCGGGACCCAGCCCCCTGCTCCTCTTGGGGGGCGCGCGCGGTGGAGGGGACGCGGGGCAGAGCCCCGAGCTCTGCGCGCGGGCGGGGTGGGGGCCGGAGGGGCCGGGCCTCCAAGTTTCAGGAATGCCTCAGGAATGTTTCCGGTGGGGGCGGGGAGCGGCGGGCAGCGGCCCAGCCCCCACCGGGCAGAGGCTGGCGCTCGGGGCGCGGGG